GGGGTGACTTTTCAGGTCATTGTCGCTCATTCGCCTCTTGGTCCGAATCTCCCCGGTGCTGGTTCCGATCCGGAACAGGTTGTTGTTGCCTTTGGGCTCAGACAGGTGATAAGAGAGCAGTGCATTGTATCCAGAGTCTGCATCCACTGCCCTGATCTTTGCCACAAAGTATCCCGCTTCGGCAGAATAGGGGATGCTCTCACTGTTAACGGAGCCGTGCTCGGAATAGGGAGCCAAAATGGCGGGACTGTTGTCATTCTCATCCAGGATAAACACATTGACGGTCACGTTACTGCTGAGCGGAGGAACACCAGAGTCTGTGGCCTGAACTTTGAACTGAAAAGTTTTTAATTTCTCGTAATCAAAAGATTGCAAACTGACAATGTCTCCACTCTCTTGGTTGATGTTAATAAGTGCTGAAATTAGAATATTCCTTGGATAACTATCTAACAATGTGTATGACACTTTTGCATTAACATCCAAATCAGGATCAACTGCCTTTATGGAATAAATAGAATATCCAGTTGGAGTATTTTCTTTGACATACACATTAATAACAGGTTCCATAAAATGAGGTGCGTTATCATTAACATCAGAAACATGAATAGTAATGATCCTTCTCGTCGACAGAGGCGGACTTCCTTCATCTGTGGCTATAATGGAGACATTGTAAATAGATGTGTTTTCTCTGTCTAGTGCTCCATCAACTACAAATGAATAATCATTTTTGTAGTTAGATTTCAGCTTAAATGGAACAGATCCAACTACCTTACAATTGGTTACGCCATTATTCCCACCATCCTTGTCGCTTACTGTTATCAACGCAACAATTGTCCCCAATTCTGCATTTTCCTTGACTGGTGTCATTAGCGAAGTAACCATTATTTCGGGGGCGTTGTCGTTCACATCAATTACCTCTATGAGCAGTTTTGCATTTGTGCTACGAGGAGAAAGGCCTTGATCAGTTGCTTGAATCCTTACTTCATAGGCAGGAGTCTCTTCATAATTTAAAGTACTTTTCAATGTGATTTCTCCCGTTTCTGCATTGAGATTAAAATCATTTGATGGATCATTGTTGCCTCGTTTATTTAAATTCCTTGAAATAAAATCATCTGGATCCAGATAGATTTTTTTAAGTAAACTGCATACATCCACTGAAAACTCTGTCTAAATTGTAGACTACTCACTGTCTTTGCAACCTTTACATCTACTTTTGGAATGTACTGTGTCTGGATCTAAATTATTCTTTTTCGAGCAACCAATTGACACAATAAAATTGAGTAAATTCATCACACCATCTTTTTCAATGTACAGTGCAGAATAAAGTGCAAACTACATCAGAAAACATACTGATCACTCCATGTATGAGTGATTTTCATTATTTGCACATTGTGTGATTTCCATTCAAACAATTATTCACTTATAGTTCTTACAGACACGTTTGAGTTTCACCTGCAAGATATAGTCACGCATTAAGGTTAACATGAAAAAATTGTATGTGTATAATTGTTTCGGCTACACATTGCTTTCTATTGAAAGCCCATGCACTGGCAAACTAAAGAACAAAACAAATTGTCAGCCTACCTTCTCAGAGGTGGGCAAAGTTTGAGTCCTGGTAAAGGTGTCGCCTCCATTAATACTGATCAGTTCTGCTTCTACAGGCGGAAAGGGCCCAGGGAAAACCACTACATCGCTCTTGAGTGTGTCTGAGCTGAAGCACACATCGTACTGCTGAGTTGCTTTGGAGTAAGACCAGCTCCCATCAGGGTGGGTGGTGATCATCGGGGCACTGTATCTATCGAAGGGTCCGTCTGTCTGTCTGTGGCATTTGAAGGCTACTAATGTGATGAGGCTGAGCAGAAAGATGAGCGACACGGCCACAACGGCGATGAGCAGATACAAGTGCAAGGCGGAGAAGCTCTCTTCCTTGCTGGGCACATGTCTGAACGGAGTGTGGATGTCAGCTGTGCTTTCAAGCACCACCACATCAATCGACACAGTCGCTGACAGGGAGGCTTCTCCGTGATCACAGACCGACACCACCAAGGGGTGACTTTTCAGGTCATTGTCGCTCATTCGCCTCTTGGTCCGAATCTCCCCGGTGCTGGTTCCGATCCGGAAGAGGTTGTTGTTGCCTTTGGGCTCAGACAGGTGATAGGAGAGCAGTGCATTGTAGCCAGAGTCTGCATCCACTGCCCTGATCTTTGCCACAAAGTATCCCGCCTCGGCAGAATAGGGGATGCTCTCACTGTTCACTGAGCCATGCTCAGAATAGGGAGCCAAAATGGTGGGACTGTTGTCATTCTCGTCCAGGATAAAAACATTTACGGTGACATTGCTGCTGAGCGGAGGAACACCAGAGTCTGTGGCCTGAACTTTGAACTGAAACGTCTTTAACTTCTCATAGTCAAACGATTGCAAACTTATGAGATCTCCGCTTTCTGAGTTGATATTAAGAACTGATGAAATTGGAATACTCCTTGGATAACTATCTAACAATGTGTATGACACTTTAGCATTAGCATCCAAATCAGGATCAACTACCTTTATGGAATAAATAGAATATCCAGTTGGACTATTTTCTTTGACATACACATTAATAACCGGTTCCATAAAACGAGGTGCATTATCATTAACATCTGAAACATGAACAATAATGATCTTTCTTGTGGAGAGAGGCGGACTTCCTTCATCTGTGGCTAAAATTGAGACATTGTAAAGAGAGATGTTTTCTCTGTCTAGTCCTGCATCAACTATTAACGAATAATCATTTTTATAGTTACTTTTCAGCTTAAACGGAACAGATCCAACTACCTTACAGTTAGTTACTCCATTGTTCCCGCCATCTTTGTCATTTACAGTAACCAAAGCAACAATTGTCCCCATTTCAGCGTTTTCATTTACTGGCGTCATCAGTGACGTCACTGTTATTTCAGGGGCGTTGTCATTCACATCAATTATCTCTATTAGCAGTTTAGCGTGTGCAATACGAGGAACAGTACCCTGATCCATTGCTTGAATTCTGACTTCATACGCAGGAGTCTCTTCATAATCTAAACTACCTTTCAAGGTGATTTGCCCCGTTTCTGCATTTAGATTGAAAACACTTGACGGATCGTTGTTGCCTCGTTTAATTAAGGAATACACAATCTTACTGTTTATTCCTTCGTCCAAATCAGTTGCATTCAATTTAATCACAAGTGAGCCCTGCGCGGCATCTTCGCTCAGACGCACTTTGTAAAGCGACTTGCTAAACGTGGGCACGTTGTCGTTGACATCGAGCACATTTACGCGTATTTGCAACGAGCCAGATTTAGGAGGTTTACCTCCGTCAACAGCGGTGAGCGTAAGTGTAATGAAAGATTGTTTCTCTCGATCTAAAGACTTTTGTAGCACCAGTTCTGCAGATACGCCGTGGTCTCCTCCGCTCTGCACATCCAGTGTAAAATGTTCATTGTTGCTCAATTTGTAGCTCCTCACTGAATTACTGCCAAAGTCTGCGTCCACGGCCACTGGGAGGAGATACCGCTCTCCCGGTAAAGCGGATTCAGAAATGTCCAAAGTGTACACACTTTCTATAAAAGAAGGTGAATTGTCATTTATGTCCAAAATAGTGATCTCAACGCGATGCGCCGTCATCGGACTGTTTAACACAGCTTGTATCCGAAGAGAGCATTTCGCCGTATTCGGACAAAGGTCCTCCCTGTCTATTCTTTCCTTTACAAATAAGTTACCGCTCTGCAAATTCACGTTGAAATACTCTTTACTGTAGCTGGAAACCACACGCAGACCTCTGGTGTCCAGCTCCTGCACGTTGAGGTTTAAATCCTTGGCGATGTTGCCCACCACGAAGCCTTTGTTCGCCTCCTCGGTAATGGAGTAGGACAATTGCGAAGCGGAAGAGCCGAAAATACAAAGAAGCAAAGCAAAGTAAATCCAGAAATCGTGTCTTTGTTGATGCATCCTCATCGCCAATGCAGCAAAATGTACAAACTGCCGTCGATCATTTATCCACATTGACGTAACTGAATCCCCACATTGAGATAACTGAATCCAATGCAGCATTACTGTTGCGAGGTTGCCGTGCATTCTGCGCGTGGACTATCGGCAGATGACGATTTCTTTTTCCTCAAGCAGGGCGGAGTAGAATTATTGAGGAGCCGTCGGATCAACATTTTCATATTTACGGTCTCCTGCGACCTCGTGTGGCCAATATAAGGTATCGGTCTATCATGACTGTCACTGCACAAGCAGAACGACCGATCAACAAAACAACCTTTTTTATTTAGGCCTGACACCGGATGCCGCTGGAAAACGTTGATTCATATCTTCCACTTAAAATGTATTCCAACATTTTCAGAACATATCAAGCAATAGTAGTAATACTAATTTCGACCTACATTACACAGTTGCTGGCATAAAACAAACAAAAGAGGAAACTCGATATCAACTGTATGATTAATAATTCTACAATATTTCATAATGACAATTATAATTCAGAATATTAAGTCAACGATGGTGCAAAGGTTCACTCATCTGACTTCCACTCAGGTAGTGTGTAGTTACCACTCACTGATTGTGTGAATGTGACTGACTTGTGAATGGTTGTCTAATTCTATTTGTGCTCTGTGATTGACCGTCCATCAGTCCAAGGGGTTGTACAAAGGGTTGGTAAAGCTTTACCACGAAAGCCAGGATAGGCGCCAGCTCAGGCGCCAGCTCCTATCAGCTCTGAACCACACAAGCAGTATGCAGAATGGATGGATGGATAATCAATCTGATCATCAACATGAGCCACCCACAGAAGAGCATCGACATCAAGTCCAGCACCACGGACAGCGGCATTTGGACTTGCTTTTGTCACCA